CACTGGTGGGTTTTATGTATAATGGGGGGATTGGTTGTTTCATGTGGTGAGGCTTGTCTGGGCCATGAAGGTTCCAGTGTCTTCACACCGCGCCACAAATGATGTATATTTCTGCATGTCTGGGGTCTCCCCAAACTACTCAGTGCTCCTACACCATGCATTACCCCTTCTCACTCCATGCCCCCCTATCTCCATCCTCACTCTACACTTTCATACCCTCAAACTCACCCTACAACCCTCACCCTGCACAAACTGTGATACAAGAGAAGTGTCTTGTTCAGATTCCAGGCCCCCTAGATCTCTGGTCTGCTTTCCTAACACCCCTCAAGACCCCGTTCACACTGAGCGATTTGTAGCGCGATCTCGGGTCACAAATTGCTCAAACATCAGCTCAATGTCGCTCATCCAATGCATTTCTATGCAGCTGTTCCCTTCTCACAGCTCAATGTCACTTAATGTCGCTCGTCCAATGCATTTCTATGGAGCTGCTCCCTTCTCACAGCTTAATGTCACTTAATGTCGCTCGTCCAATGCATTTCTATGCAGCTGTTCCCTTCTCACAGCTCAATGTCACTCAATGTCGCTCGTCCAATGCATTTCTATGCAGCTGTTCCCTTCTCACAGCACAATGTCACTCAATGTCGCTCGTCCAATGCATTTCTATGGAGCTGTTCCCTTCTCACAGCTCAATGTCACTCCATGTCGCCCGTCCAATGCATTTCTATGGAGCTGTTCCCTTCTCACAGCTTAATGTCGCTCGTCCAATGCATTTCTATGGAGCTGTTCCCTTCTCACAGCTCAATGTCGCTCGTCCAATGCATTTCTATGGAGCTGTTCCCTTCTCACAGCTTAATGTCGCTCGTCCAATGCATTTCTATGGAGCTGTTCACATCTCACAGCTCAATGTCACTCAATGTCGCTCGTCCAATGCATTTCTATGGAGCTGTTCCCTTCTCACAGCTCAATGTCGCTCGTCCAATGCATTTCTATGGAGCTGTTCCCTTCTCACAGCTTAATGTCGCTCGTCCAATGCATTTCTATGGAGCTGTTCCCTTCTCGCAGCTCAATGTCACTCGTCCAATGCATTTCTATGGAGCTGTTCCCTTCTCGCAGCTCAATGTCACTCGTCCAATGCATTTCTATGGAGCTGTTCACATCTCAATGTCGCCTGTACATGACCTATTTTTCCAGCGGATTTCATGCGATTTGGCCCCAACAGGCTTCAATGGTGTAGCTCAATGTTGCACGAATTTGCGTGACATTGCGCTACAGAAGTGTCAGTTTTGCACAGAAATATAAGCAGGAAACAGGAAGAGGAATGATGTCACCTCAAGACCGATTTTGATTGGATACTGGCCGCCAATGTAGCAGCTACGAAGTCCATGTCTAAAGTAGCGCTACAATATGTGCACTGTAGCCCAACGTCGCTCAATGTTACTCGGCTCAGATCGGTACCTCTGTGACCTCCCCCCCCCATCTGTAACACACAACACCAACATTACCAGGATACAGGGGTACAATACTGAGCAGGGGCCAAACCTAGGAGTAACCCCCATGGCAGCCATGTTTATGTTAGCTAGTGAGTGCTAACTAGTTATAGCTGATCTGTTATACGGGCCCCGTATTAATGGCCCCGTATTAATGGCCCTATTCATGATTACTGTCTCAGAGCCGGGTCCTGTAATTATAGCCCTGTTCATATGTCCCATATTCATGGCCCCATTAATGGTTACCGCCTTAGCTGGGCCCCGTATTCACAGCCCTAGTCATGATTACCATTGCAGAGCTGGGCCCTGAATTCATTATGGCCCTATTAATGATTACCGTCTCCAAGCCGGGGCCCATATTCACAGCCCTATTAATGATTACCGTCTCCAAGCCGGGGCCCATATTCACAGCCCT